TCGTGAAATTTCAAGGAAAATGGCAGCTAGGACCTTCTGCATATTTCGCTCTTAAATTGAATAATCATTTTTCCATGTGATAAAGAAATTCTTGTAAAAAACTTCAACTGTTTATAATATAAACAGTCAACATTTTAGTTACTAAAATGTTGACCTCACTTCTCTTATCAATATAGGCAGATAATATTTTAAGAAGCTCAGCGACTGTTACTTGTAAAAACTTGCATATTCCATATTCAGTACAACGCGTCGAGACTTATCGTTGCCGCGCCGGCCGATGTCCCATCCGCAATACTTGTTTAGACGTGCAAATTAAAACGAATTGTGGTGTATGTGCTTGCAAACTTGCATGAACGTATTTGATTATTCACCAATATAAATACGAATGTCAAGGATAATCGTTATTCATTTGTTTCTGGAATTTCATAAAGAAAAGTGAATCGATATTAGTGTTGGCCAGTGACTGAATAAGAAGAAACCTTTAAAACGAAAATCTGCAACCAGAATCGAAAAAACGTCAGTCAGGAAGAATTCAAAAAGTGTACTTAAGGAGATGTCTGGTAAAAGAAAACAAAAAAAAAGTAAATAGAGTAAACCCCGCCATTAAATTTATTTTTGTTTTAATACAAGGAAAATATATGTCCTTTAGTTTTAAGAAACACATTTACCTTAATTTCAGTGTTTTCAAAGAAATGTTTTTTAAAATAAATATTTTTGATACTTTTATAAAAAAAAAAACATTTAATTTCACATTTATCTGGTTATAATACAATTTGTCGTAAGCCACAAATCCGAGCCTCTATTCTTATGCTAACCCTAAAAATCATGATTCCTATACTTTCCTTATATCTGTATACAGATAGGAAAGTAAAAATACACAAATAGGACGTAACCTACGAAACAAGAATACGTAATAGGACGTATCACACAAAAATAATCAAATATGGCCGATAATTTAAAAATTCACTTAAAATACTTTGATTATATTTTAGTTGTAATTGACCAAATAAGATATCAAACATGTTTTGAATATTGTAACTATGAAATATTTTGTGCCTCCTATAAAATTTACTGTTAAGGGGATGCGACCTATTGCGCCTAAGCTATCGATATCTGATCGTTACATATTATAAAACCACAGTACCTTTTCATTTAACTAACTCTCTCATGGCTACCCCAAGTTTGAATATTATAAATCCGCTTGAATATAAAAAAACAACAGGCATAGAAAATATTTTTTTTATTGGTACCCTATTTTACTTATTTAAAGTACGCCTCAGCGTGTTGAAAACGAACTTTAAAAAACGCGCGTGTTTTAAATTTACCATGACAACATCAACAACCCGAGAAACGTGATGTCTAAATGCCAACTTTTTAAATATTGATCTGACAGGAGTGCCTTGTAATGTCAAATAAAATAGGGTAAAGACGACAGTCGTTGGCACGTACACAATCGTGGGCATAGTGCGAATATAATGCCTAATAAACTATTTCGATCTCAAATTTAGGGTCTAGTTTTTTTTTATGTCAAAGTTGGATACGTGTCCAATTAGGCATTCCAAACTGAATGACTACCAGTGGGTTTTGACAGGTTATGATGTGGCAAAGTTATGGCAACTCTGTAGGCCTGGTGATTTGACAAGGTGAGTGAAATAGATAGTTACATAGATTGATCATCCCTATTTTTTAAAATAAACATAAGCTTATGCCTTGAAGTAAAAATATAAGCAATTATTATTTTTTAAATATCTAAAGTCTGAAAATTGGTTTTAAAACACATTTTTGCTAAACTGATTCAAATTAATAAATATTTGCCAGGCAATATGGCTGCTCGAAAACGACCAGCTTCGAGCAATGTATATAACATATATGTATCATTGACCCTGTTAATGACAACATGACAACAGGGTTGCCATATCTAAACTGTCAGTACCCACTGGTAGCCATTTGGACAGGTCGTTGGAATGCCTAATAGTTTTAAAACATTTGACGTCTTTATGTTTACAACAGTGAAAAAGAACACTTGATCTTTGGCGCGCTTTCCCTGTGTCAGTCTCGAAGTGAAGTGTACATTGCTTGGTCGTATTGACGGTAAGTCAGTTAAATGCATTTATTTTTAAGAAAATGTATTAAGCCTTAACTTTAATAAACGAATGATGTAATATAAAATGTAATATATCTATTCTCTACACGGTAAAATAGAAAAAAATTAATTAATAACCTCAAAACTAATGGTGCCAACAACTGTAACCTTGTAATTACTAGAAAACAGTGGTTGGCATAGAGATGCTAACGACTGAATACGATTATAATTTAAAGAATTTTAATTGTTGGCACTTATATTTTTTTAATATTTTGGGGTAGATTTAGGCATGCCCAACGAGAATTTTAAGTTTTTTGTATTTGAAAAATCTTCTTTTTCTTTATTTTTTTTTTTACTTGTCTTAAGATTTTATAACATTTTTATAGGACATTTAATTTTTCTAATAGGAGTGACTCCTGGTTAATCGATTGCAAGCCTTTATCTTCACATCTATTATATCTTTCCAGTAAAAAAATATGGACAAGAGGGGACTTAATATTAAAAGAGCTATAAAAGAAATCGAAGAAAATGGCATGTCCAAGAAAAAAGCAGCAATGACATATGGCGTTCCCAGTTTCGCATGGGTACAAAATTTAAAAAGCCTGGATACGGCCCAGCGACCTACCTGACTAGGGAAGAAGAAACTGAAATTGTACAGTAAGTGAGTAAACTATTTTACCTTGGTCGATTGGTAAAAAAATGTTATTGTTCTAGGTGGATTATCACTTGCCAAAGAAGAGGTTTTCCAAGGCGAATAGACGACATACAAAGAAGTGTGCAAAATTTTATAAAGGAAACTGATAGAAAAACTCCATTTGCAGATGGTTTACCAGGCAAAGGATGGTATCGTGCCTTCTGCAAGAGACATCCATAATTATGCCTAAGAACATCAGAAGCTGTCACCCAAGCAAGCGCGTGTATCAGCGAGGAAGACATTAGGAAATGGTTTAATACTATTGAGCAAGAAATTAAAATCTTGGGAAAAGAAGATATATTACTTGATGGAAGCAGAATATTTAATGGTGATGAAACCAATTTTCTACTGTGCCCCAAAAATAAGAAGGTTGTAGCGGTGCGGGGAACAAAAATATATATGAGGTAGATCAAGCTACAGCAAAAGTTTCTTTAACCGTTATGTTTACATTTGGAGCAAAAGGCAGTCTTACACCTCCTATGATCATTTATCCATATAAACGTAAACCACCAAAAGATATATTGGAAAAAATGTTCCTGAAAAATGGGGTGTTGGTTATTCAGATAATAGCTGGATGAAAGCTTAACTTTTTTATGAGTACATATGAAATGTTTTTAATCCCTTTCTTATTGAAAATAAATTAGAGAAACCAGTCCATTTGTTCGTAGATGGTCATAAAACCAATTTGACACTGCAGGTCAATAAATTATTTAATGATTTGGGAATAATTCTCATAGCCTTGTACCCAAACGCAACCCGTATTTTACAGCCTGCAGATGTTGCTGCTTTTAAACCGTTAAAAACAGGTTGGCAAAAAGGTATATTGGAATGGAGAAGAGAGCACCCTAATATTCAATTTACCAAAGAAAACTTTGCTCCTCTTCTCTCTAAGGTTGTTAAAAAATACATTAACAATAATATTATAAGAAACGGATTTAGGGCAACTGGTTTATTTCCATGGAACGCTGATGCAATAGATTATTCTAAATGTTTGTCAAATAGAAATGTCGTTAATAATAATGTAAACAATAATATTTTATTTCCGGAACCTGACAATTCTAAATTTATGAATTTTGAAACATTTAAGTCAATAATTGGCGAAGAAACATTGCATTTCCTGGAAACTAAACCAGTCGAGGGTAATAAAACGGAAATGAAATATTTGCAGAAAATATTGGAATTTTTTAAGAACAAAATGAACAAAATGAATTTGACATCACAAACATGCCATTATATATATTTTTGGAAGATAATAACCATGAGCCAGACCCCTGCAGCATTGAGTTCGAACCCAATTTGGAGCAGGAAATTGTTAATATTGCAAACCAAAAAGGTGATTATGTTAAAAGTGAAAACAGCTGCGCTAATCAACATAACCTGGAAATTGTTGATAATGAACTAAATGCCGCACTAAAAGAATTCGATAGTTCTTTGGAATATATAAGAACAGACACAGTAGCAATAACTTCATTACCATCAACATCCGCTGAAAACAAAACTCCCTCTTCAATTAGTCAAATTCTTCTTTGGCCAGAGACACCAAAACGAAAAAAACATTAGAAAAACTGAAAAGTTTCCATATGTTATTTCCTCAGAGACTTGGAAACATTTAGCAGAAGAGAAAGAAAACAAAAAAAAAATGGAAGAAGAAACCAAAGAAAATAGAAAAAGATTAGAAAATAAATCAAACCCACAGAATAAAACAACAAAAAATAAAAAAAGCAAATCAACCATCAATAAAACATCAGTGAAACTTACTGAATCTAAAGTTGCAAAAGAGAATACACCTTTGCCTGCTGCCAAGAAAAATATTCTTGAACCCAAAATTCTGATTATCCAGAATGAAATATTGAACGATAAGCCTAGTATTTCTAATGAAAATATTGACAGTCCAACAAAAAAAAATTTATTCAAAGGAATTTGCTACGCTTGTGGGGACAATATTAATCTAAATAAATTTGGAAGAAGATGCTCGTCATGTACCCGAACACTGCATTTGAAATGCGAAAATAAAGAAACTTTTTTCACAAAATTATTTACCTGTAGCAAATGTATAAAATAATATTTTCTACGCCTATGGAATAATATGTCAATTATTAACGCTTTTTCTTTAAATAATAGTAGTCATTATTTTTATCTGTTGGCTTATGAATCATAAGCCAACGGTATTTGACCAATCACAGGCCACGAATTTTCATAAGCCAACAGTTTTATTAGTTGCCCATGACAACGGAAAAGGCACCACAGTATTATTCCTGTACAACACTGCTTGTCAGTTGTCATTTGTAATTTTGTCACGCTTGACCAGCGCTTGACACTTCTGTCTCCGAAAGCTGAAAAAGTGTAAAAGTTTGTCTCAAAAACCAAAAAATTGTCTAATCAAAACACAAATGGATGAAATGGACGATATTAACAGTAACGAAGAAAATTATACCCCACCGGATATCGTAGAAGCAGCGAAAATAACATCGGTAGACTTGCTACCTAAAAAATCGCGAAATTTTTACGAAAAAGCGTATAAAGCTTTTATGGATTGGCGAGACCGCAAAAAAACTACCTCGTTTTCCGAAAACGTGTTACTAGCCTACTTTGGAGAGCTAGCAGAAAAATACAAATCTTCGTCCCTCTGGACTCAATATTCGATGTTGCGAACGACACTAGAGGTACGACAAAACATAAATATAGCAACTTACGGAAAGTTAAAAACTTTTCTTAAACGCAAATCTGATGGCTATAAGGCGAAAAAGTCCAAAACATTTACTCCAGATGAAATAAATATTCAGAACTGCCAGAATTTCACAATAAATATTCACCAACATAATCCGTTAATTGATAAATAATCATTTTATTATCCATGTTATTAAAAGTTAATATGAATTAATGTAAAATGGTTTATTTGAGTAAATTTAATTTAATCTGCATTTTAATTATTTCATAGGCGTAGAAAAAGTATAGTATTATACTATTATGTTGTATTGATAACGTAAAATTTGAACTATATCTTTCGCATTCTTAAACAAATTTAATTCTATAAGCGTTTTACAGTGAGGTAACAATAAAATAAAATTCAACTAGCGACAAGAGTGCCAACGACTGTCGTCTTTACCCTAATTCTGAGAAATTTTTCAAAAAATTTATTCAAATATTTTTTCACATTCTTAATTATTTAAATGAATGTGGAAAGTACAGTTAGTATTGTTTGAAATATTAAAACTTCGGTTTTTTAAATCAGAGGAAATACTGTTCAAATTAAGATTGCTAACATTCTTGGAAGTCAATGAAGTTGTACTTCCATTAATAGCCCTTCCAATAATATTTGAAACATTCTTATTGCTAATGCTCTCTTCAACGTAACCAGTCGCCACAGCTGCCGATTTCCATCCTACTTGTCGTTGGATTTGATCTATTGTCATGCCATTATTCGCCATAATGGTAGCAGATGTACGTCGAAATGCATGTCCAGTATATTTCTCAGGATTGTCTAATTTAAGATAACGTGCAATTTGCTGGGAACATGATCCAAATGTATTAATACCAACCACTTGATTGGTGCACTTCTCCTTATCATACCGTAAGAAAACTCTGTCTATACTTACATTTTGGGGGCGCAATGATAAATACTGCTTCACCAAACGTACATATCTAATTGCATCACTATCGGCAACAGTAAAACGTCAAAACTTCACTGTCTTAGATGGTCGGATAGTAATAAGCAATACGCTTCCTTCTTCCTTGATATCAACTAAGCGTAAATCGCACAATTCACATCTTCTACAAGGGCCAAAGATGCCACAAATAGCAACCACCTTCAAAAATAAATATATAATGTCCGGTGCATCTGTAAAAAACTTCTGCAAATCGTCTTCTTTGAATACATATGCCTTCTTGACTACCTCATTTTTGCTAATTGCCTTCATGAATGCATGCACTTTGACGAAAGATTTTATATCGACCCCTTTGTTTATCCTCAACATACTTTGTAATTTTGAATGGATAGTCCACATAGTCGATACTTTATACTGTTCCGACATTTTATGGAGATAAGCGAGATCAACTCGTTCATCTATATGTGTAACCATTTGCTCTTCCATCCACGTGTTGAATTTATCGTATTCTTTTTTATAAACCCCTTCGGATTTTTGTGGTATTAAGCGCGATTCTGCTTTATTATTTAAATACCTAATATTTGAACTCATTTTAAATAATAACAACTGTTGCGACAATTAATCTTACGTGACAGATTGAAAATAAATTTTTGTTTGTTTCATTTTCATGACAACGAGGTATACTGATGTTACATCACAAATTCAACCACTTTCAGTTATTAGTTCTTATTTCCATTTTTTTTGTAGAAATAATACCAATATTTAGGATTTCAAAGTATACCAATAAAAAAAAAAATAGCGCAAAGTATTCGTGGATAACTGGTCTTTAGAACACTTGCTCTATTTTGAGAACTCCGGCTGCGCCGTCGTGCTCGAAAAATCGCGCATGTTTTAAAGACCGTTATATCCACTTATACTTTAATATACTATTAAAAACCTAGTGTATTTAAAGATGTAAAATGTTAACTATATAGACCGTTTATTGTCCGTTTACAATGGCATCCTGTATTTGTTACATTGGATTGTTTAATCAAGGACATGTGTGGTACAGGAGCGGATGTATTGCTAAACTATGGACGTTTCTCTACTCTCAGGCAATCAATTATTGTAAAATAAATATAATTTTGTGTTATTGTGGAATATTTTTCGATTTATTTGTCTCAACTTCGCGCATTAGAGTTTAGAATATGTATCCCTCGTATCTACATGCAATTGTTAAAATTATGAATGAATGCTGATTTTGTTTAGTCTCGGAAGTAATTTTGCAGTATTTAGGGTGCACCCTTAAGTTGTAATTTTCATACCTATTAAACTACCGTTGCCTCGCGGGTCTTTCAGTTTGAAATGTAAATTTTCATCTTAAAACTCAAAAGAATAGGAAAAGTACTGACCAGTTGGTTGTGAAACCAGTACCAAAAAATACATGCACATCCAGGTTTACTTGCTATGTAAATAAGCCAGGAGAAAATAAATATTCATAACTTGTACGAATTGGATGCACTAGAATGAGCCCACCTCTTTAAGTATTTATTTTTAAACTTTTTTTATCTACGCAATAATAATTCTAATTATAATTCAAAATTTATGAAGTAGAACACCTAATATTAAATAAACATGATACTCGGTAATCTACCTGGGGTGTATAATAATAGATAAGGATGATATCTCATATCTTATCAAAGGTAATTATTTTGTATTTACGATTAGATACCAAGTACCGTTAAATAAATTTAATAAATTTTTTTTCATGGAACATCTCATGACTTAACGTTCGTCTGTTTATGATGCTATATGTTGATATAATAATGATTATCAGGGACTGTTTCATAAATACAATGAATTGGATTTTAATGCTGAAATGAGACACAAAAGTACGTCGTGATGAAATGGTCGTCGATAATTTTGATTCCTTGCTAAACAAATAAATTAAAACTTCACTAAAACCTCCTTTCACACACTTAGAGAAATCTTGCCACACGTTGGGCGCCAAATTGGCTACCCGTAGCAGATGCTACGTGAGCAGAAGGAGATACTTTTTTTTCTGCCAGCAGCTAGCTCATGTGAGCAAGTCGTAAGTTTTGACAAATGAGTCAGTGTACTACCTATTAAGCCACCTTAGGTAGAAGCCAAAAATAAATTTATCAATGAAGAGTTAATTATTCTAAATTTGAGGTTATAATGACATCCACAGCAAGTAATATTAAAAACATGACAGGTAAATTAAAAATATCTATAGCCAATTTCTCACAAAAAGCTGTAAAAAACTCCAAGAATTTCCAAATTATCTGGGCTTTTATTTATTTAATATCCAAATAAAAAAAACAGCTCTCCCCGCCTGCAGGCCTGCAGGCTAAAACGCACAGTTCTGATCTAAAAGTAAGATTTGATCAGCTCATTTTACTCTTCATCTTCACACTAGACAAAAGAGTACAAAAGAGGAGAGGCCAGATGTGAGCACTTCACGTTGAGTTATGGACTAAATCGATGAACTATACAATTCAAATCTCACAAAAATCGTAGCGTATAGGGCTTCCATAGTTTACACTAAAATAGTAGGTCATCTGTAGAACATCTTATGTACACTCCAGGCTAGTAATATGACAGTCAAAACCATACTTGATTTAATAACAGGGCGTTGCAAGCTCAAATGAACATCATCAACCGATTATGTCAAACATATGAACAAAACAGACATTTCTACCGGTGTGATAGTCTGGTTCGAAGCTACTAGGTCTAATAAAAAGGACAAGGCTAAAATATAGTCTAGAAAAAAGACATAACGACCACAAAAGATCTTTAAAGGTGGCAGTGTCACCTACAAGTTTATCTCTGTAAGTACCTATGTCTACTATTATATTTTCTATTGTAAGACCATCTTGAAAATACAGGGCCCCCGCAACTGCGCGAGCAACGCGTGTACCGCACGCGGGCGCATCTCTAAAGTGGGCGCCAAACCGTAGGTCTGTATACAATTCGAATTTTTAATTTTTCTAACGATTCCAATGAACAAAGCACTAAGACATTAAAGAAATAAAAAATGTTTTCATCTCAATTCATGATAATATAATCAATAATGTTATCGAAATTTATGTTCGTTGATATAATGACCTGTTGTGACAGAAAACACATCTATTTTTGAAATCAAATAGCTATTCAATTAGCGTTAAATATAATAAAATCAATATGTTAATTAATTCTGTGTGCAACATGCAATACCATGAATACCCGTATAAAGTATAAACTTGTCGATTTTTCCTGTCCAAACTCGAATTATGTACGAACGACGAGTAAGTTTCAAATTAGATCTTTTTTCCTGTCCAGACTGAACACTCTACGAACTACGTTTTTCCTGTCCAGACTCGAATATTGTACGACAAATAAGTTTCATTTTAGATCTTGTGGATTTTTCCTGTCCAGACTTGAAGACTCATCTACGAACCACGAGACCACGAGTATAAATAAAACTGCAGGAGGCGAGAAGCATCAATATGAGTTTGTTATTAATTGCAATCACTTAAGACTTTTATTTAGCTATTTTTACATGTGTATCATATGGGAATATTAAACATTCTGGTATATATCCTTTAAGTTTGACAACCTAAGACATTTTGCTGATGTTGCAAAGTGACAGATCAAGTTTTATTGTGATTTTTTGTAGTTTTCAAGAATAATTTAAACCCTGAACTTTTTAATAAGGACTTTTACGATAAGGAGGAAATATATAGCGTGACGAAATACGCAGAATAACAATGTTATTCGGTCATGTCATAAGTAAGATTATGTTAGCATAGACGTAGGCATATATAGGAAATAAGGCTTAATTTATTTAACAGTGTAAAGGCATTTAGCACTAGTATTGTTTATTTAAATAATAATGTTCTATATTTTCTGATCAGGTTTTTTAGAGAAATTATTCAACGTAGAATTTGGCTGCAAAATCTATGCTTGGTGAAGGAAGACATTATGAAAGTGAAAGAAGCCTTAGTATGTTCTGACCATTTTTGTATGGCAGATATTTATGAAAATTTAAGTGGTAGACACTATTTAAAACATAATGCTATACCTATCAAGTAAGTACAATATTTAATATGGGTATTTTTATAATATGTAAGCTCTAAAATTATACAGAAATCAACACATTTTACATAATTTGCATCACCAGTAAGGTAACTTAATAATTTATATTGAGAAAAGCATACAATTATATATAAATTTTTTTCTAGTTTTTTAAAGAATAATGAAGATCCGTGCTTATCTAGTACTCCTACAGGTCCTAGTGTATCTGGATCACCACTTCCTAAAAGGTAACATTGTAATTGTGTATTTTATATAAATGATTGGATTATTTTTGATTTAAATAACTTATTTAAGAAAATTATGTGTACCTAAAAAGCACTTTATTTCACAATCAGTAATTTTTTATTTTAATTATGTTTTTATAATTTTTTATCTATTTTTAAGTAACTGGTTCCATAAAATGCACTTATTCTTATTCTTTATGTAAAATATTTTAATACATGTTTATATACTAACAGTATATTGTGTCCAGACGATACTAATTTTATCATTGAAGACAATAGTTCATAGTAACGGCATTGAACAAAAGACAAGAGATAGTCAAAAGATTCACAGGTTATTGTTCGGACAATGGCATAGTAATTAATCCCTAAAAAAAAATTTCTACGATCACTATTCAAAGTAGGCTTTTGCACATTCAAATCTAATTAGAAAGTTGACGTTTTTCGCGAATTGTCATAATTTGACATTATTGGCACAAACGCGCAAGTAACTTTGGCACACGCTTGTCTGTTTTCATTTGAATGAAATAAATGAAAGCTAATCGATATTTTAAAACAATATATAAGTTAATCGAAAATATTAAATTGACTTCCTAATATTTTAAATCATTTAACAGTATTTTCTGTAAATAATTAATCACAAATAATTACCAACACATAAGTACTACAAACTTTTCTCTTCGACAGATTGCCGTGCTCCGCTAACGCGTCGATCGGCAACTTTTTGTCTCAACTGCCAAATGTGCTACTTTCTGTTCTTAATACACAAATAGCTATTTTGTCTTTTATGCCAAAATATGCTTTACAAAATATCAGTTATTACACTAAGGACCGATTCCACCGTTGTTGTGTTAAACGAAGTTTAAAATGACATTTTTACATTAACAACGTCATTTTAATCTCCGTTTAACACAACGGTGGAATCGGCCCTAAATAAATCTATTGAGCAGGTTCTTTATTAAGAGTTTGTAGGAGTAACCATTGATAGTAAAATGACATTCGAAATGTCACAAAAGAAGCTTCTTTCAGTTTTTTTCTATTCGGACAAATTAGAAATAGTCTCTCTTAATAATCTTAAGCTAATATGTGTTTTAGCCTTGTCCAGATATTATAAAATCATTGCTGATTACTCTCCTAAATGAGTTATCATACCATTGCACAAATAATGCTAAAAATAGGTGTCGTGGCATGCAACCCAAATGGTATGTAATGGAAAGATCCTATTTGTATATTTATGTATCTGAAATAAAATTGTTTTACTGTTTTTTAATAAGTTTTTTATTTCATAAAAAAAGGTAGTATGCAATATAATTATTCTTTTTTCGACCTGTAGAAAAGGATTTCTGACAATACCCATGTAAAAATAATAATAAATGGCGCTATATTTTTACTTGCTCTTCATGTATTTAAAAAAAAAAAAAGATAATGTATAATAAAACACTAACAAAAATGTTCTTCCACTTTAAGCTACCTACTATTTTAATACATAAGAAAATATATAAAATGACTTTTTGAATGCCCTGTATAAATTGAATATGTTTTCTTTAAGTTTGCCTTTGATTCCGAAGACCCATAGGTTATTGATTTGGTCATTAAATAATGTTTACTAAAAAATATATCTAAACCCTCCCGAAACACTACGTCTATGTGCGACGTACGATTCCCCTTTCCCCGTCTGGTATAACATGCGGACAGAAGGTGTATTGGGTATACAGTGTGAAGGGCGAGTCTATCTTAGATAATATGATGTCTATGGTACCAGTGTTTTTAAATCAATTATTTTTAAAATTTCTAAACCCTCTTGATAATTTATCCTTAAAAATAGTTATACTAAGTTCTTTTCTAAAGTAATGTATAGTTGAAATTGTTACTGGAGGAATTTTAGTTTTTAAATATATTTTTTTTGTCCTGGCCGGTTATTGGGACACATAAAAAATTTCTAAATTTTAATAGTTTATTCGCTTTACGCTTCGTCAATTTAAAAAAATGTTTACTTTTTATTTTACTAACTTTTTACTATACTGAGTGCTCTATATATTTTGTTTATATCAAATTAAATAACTATAATATTTTAATTTAATTTTATGTTCATTTCTTATTATTATTCATTTTTTAGTAATAAATTTCTTTACAGCAAATACATATTTATTACCTGAGCAGGTCAGGAGAATCGCAACTATTTTTTTCCATTTAACATGTAGTCAGGCAAAACGCTACCAAAGCCTACCAAATTTTTATGGCAGGCGAAACGGGAATATACCTTTTACTTTGACTTACTTCGGTTATTATTAAGATATTGTGGAAAATACTACAAAAGTAATTCAATATTTTTCACATCTGAAAATCGGGAAATGTGATTTTTTCCTGTGTTGCAAATTAGGTCTAAAAAATATGTTTATTATTTTTTCTGTTAAAGTTTGTACACTAAAACCTGAATCACCCTCAATATTAAATGCCTTTACCAAGTTTTGATCTAGTATTCCTTAATTTCTAGGAGCCACAGAAGAGAAAACGACCTTCTGGTACAAAATTTCGAGAGCAAAAAAAGTTAGAGTCCAAGAAAGGGAGAAGATGGCTGGCAGTAAGAAACATTTCTTGGGAAAAAGTCAAGTTTCCAACACTGAAACGATAGAGGAAGGTGAAAATACAGTTTCTAAAGCGGCGGCACCACCATCTTCTGCACCATGTGAATCATCAACATCATCATCACTTATCGAAAATATATTCTCTATAGAGTCGACCATCTCAACAAAGACGGTTACAAAATTCTACTGAAGCGGTGACTGATAATACTAGTGTTCTTATATCAGAGGACCCCGGTTTATGGCCCAGAAGCATTACCAACGACGAAGTCAGAATATTGGTTGAGCGTGTTCCTCCTTTGGTAGGAAATAATTATCAATTTCCAGCTAATAAAGACAAAGACGAAAGAACATTTTTAAGTAAGTACTTTGTCAGAAAACTAGGAAATGGAGAAGAAGCAAATAGAATTTGGCTCATTTACTCAGTTTCGAAAAATGGAAATTTTGTTTTTGTTGTAAAATTTTCTGTAAGACTTTCAATAGTTTTTCTGATACTCATGGTTTTGATGATTGGCAACATATGTCCTTAGCCATAAAAAGACATGAAACATCAATTGTACACAATGTTCAGATGAATATATAAGTGAATTTAAAAAAAATAATCAAATTATCCACAACTGTAAACGAGCATCACTTACGGGTTTTAGAAATTGAAAAAAATATAGGGACCGTGCGTCATGACTTTAACACCAACTGGTGACAAAAATGTGAACTTTATGGGGGGGATTTATTAATGTTTTATACGGCATTAATGGTTTAGTAATTATTAATTAAATAAAGTCGAATTATTTTCGTAATATCATTATCAAAAAAACTTGTTGCATTCGTGGATGTACAAACACATCACTTTGGAAACCTGGATTTGATTCGATAGTAAAGAAATTTTTTAAATTTCCACAGAGCACACTTTGCGTCTCACACCCAATTATATACATAATTACATATATTGCTTATCCATAACGTAAATCAGACGACGAAAAGCGTATTTCATTGGGCAAAGTTTTCTTTTTATCTATAATCAATTTTGAGCACTTAATTGTAAACAAATCATTTACAGAACCGGTTTGGAAATTAGAGTCTTTAGTGTTTTCTTGTCATTAAGATTTTTACACATTTAAATAAACATTTTATATAAATATAATTTTACAGATAATTAATGGTTTATTCTGTTAATTAAAATTAATGAAGAATGTTACTGTGAAATTAGAATGTCCAATTTAACAAAAATATCATGGCCCTCTATACAATTTATTAACTATTTTTCATTTATCACTAAAATAAACAAATCATAATTAATACATTTTAATTACTGTCAAAAGAGATTGCAACAAACTTTAAAATATTAAAAATCCACTGATTTTTTGTAAATTTTTTTAGTAACATTACCATTACATTAACATTACTTAGAATAATAGATAAATGTCCAATTACAACTCTTAACAAAAGTATTTATTATATCATATCAAAGTTGTTTACATTAAATTTAAAAGTTGTATTACATATTGAAATGATGTGTTTCATATAGTGTTATTTCTGAAATTAGAGTGGTCTAAAATTATTTACATTCATGTTATAAAAATTGTTTAGATCTCTTGTGTCTTGAAGTAAAACTTTAATTATTTTTTTCTTTTAAATATTAAGAGGCTAAATTTTATTTTAAAGGTGGTTGAATGACATTTCGACTGACATAAAGCTAAAAAGAATTAATATTCTCAATCTTTTTTTATTAATTTACATTTTTTAAATGTTATTGTAATACTTTTAAATTGAGTGTTAATAAATACCGATATTTTGACATTGGATACACTAGCTTAAGGTACAACTTTACAATTTATTGTCACTTAGCCATTTAAATTCTTTTGCTCAAAAAGTATATACATGTCCAGATTTTAATAATTTTTCACATTTTATATCATTTTGACCATGTATATGATTGTTTGTTACGGGCCGGTATCTATATTTAACTATATTTAATATTTTAAAAGATATCCTGTATTAAGTACCTGCAATGTTTACCCCAATTAATTCTAAAATTAAACCCTAGAGAGGGCTACCTTCGGCAGTAGTGCTGCCTCTATATTTCACGCACGGTCCCTATTGGCATGACGTTCTGGAAAGAATTGTTGCAGTTGTCAAATTTTTATCCAGACAATGTCTAGCGTTCCAAGGTTCTTCTAAAATACTTTTTGAATTTGATAATGGAAACTTCCTCAAAGCTGTCGAGATGATTTTCTCTTCTGATCCTGTGATGAGAGAGCACATTAGTCGAGTGCAAAACTCACAAACAAATTCTTTAAAAATGGCTCATTATTTAGATACAAAACAAAATTATTGAATTAATGTATTCTAAAGTAAAAATAATATTTTGAATATGGTTTGCAGTTCCATATATTATTCAATAATTTTAGACTGTACACCGGTTACAAGTCATACAGTCGTTTTGCGTTATGTCGTTCTAAATGACATTTTTAAAAAAGGCCCAAATAAAAGAGTTTCATAGCGTTCAATCCAATATCCGACTCGACAGGGGAAACGCTATTTGATTTTGTCGTTGGATTTTTGAAAAATTTGAATTTAGATATTAAAGACACAGCTTACAATACAGCTAAAACACTCTCTTGGCGGCAACGGTTTGCGTCGATTTCGTCGCGCATCGCTTAAGCTCCGCCTTCGAAGGGAAAAGACGGTTTTGGTGTTCAGAAGCGTACTTAGGTAAGGTGTTGAGTCGTGCGTATAATTTCGTTGATTGTATAATTTCGTGGAGCCTATAATTTCGTTGATTGTATAATTTCGTGGAGCCTATAATTTCGTTGATTTTGTTTGAGTTAAAGGTACTGTTATTATTTTGGTGACTCTTTAGCTATGAGTAGAATGAGTGAAAAAAAAGACATCATTCTGTTTGTGCAGCCAAAAGCTGTTTTAATAAGGGTTATACCTGCAAGAAAACATTCTTTAGTTTTCCCAAGGACCCAAACCGATAAGTACCACATTATAAGAAATTTTCATTGTTAAAAATATAAATTATACAGGGTATCCCATTAGTGCGTTATTGTTCATTATTTTGTTGTAGACACGCAAGAAAGTTTTAAATAAAAGTTATATGGATTTGAAAAATACCTACATATTTTAAAAATATCTTCGGATATACAGGGTGTCACGTTTTTGCCTGGCAAATTAAAATGTATGTTTTTTAAATGGAACACCATGTATTTTATTTTATGATAAAATTATTAACACCCTAAATTATTGTAAAGACGAATTGATACAGAAAAATTTTATCAGGTATGTGTGTGGTTACCTTTTAATAAAAGCCTTGCGGATCCACTCCTCTGCGATACCTGTCTTAAATATAACAAAGATCACGTTGAATTAGATGATTTTTCTTTTTATTGCTTTTTAAAGGCATATGATAACGCCAATCCAGATACATTTGGAAATCTGCAACTGTCAAATGATGAATTTGTAGAACTAATATTCAATATTGAAAAGATATTTCAAAATAATTTTGAAGAATTGGCTACAAAAAATAACATTTGTACCACACTTTTAGAATTAATTAACCCAATACCCTTTAGTCATCCATGCTAACGTTTTCCAAAAGAATAACTTATTTTATTGTATGTTTAATCTCAATAACTAAAAAATATTCTGACAATTAGTTTGACAGAATTGTCATTTATTTAAAATTTTAAAAATAATAGCAGTAGGTTGATCAAAATATGAACGGTCATTGGCGAATTTATTTTTTTTTTTGCAGTGTTCTCACTACCTAGAATGGATATGAAATATATTCGTTCAATTGAAGGCAATAGCATACTTTTTCATTTTGTAATCTGTGCATGGATATTAGCCAATCTATGCACATACTACAAAACGAAAAAGTATGTTATTGCGTTCAACTACGAATATATTTCATATCCATTTTAGGTAGTGAGAACACTTTAACAAAATTAAATCTACAAATCACAGTTCATATTTTGGTCACCCAACTCCTATTTTTTAAATTTTTTTAAATAAGTGACAATTCTGTTAAACTAATTGTCAATATATATTTTAGTTATTGATATTAAATATACATTAAAATTTTTGTGTAGACTCGATAAATAATAGCATTTTTGTTTTTATTGTGTCCACATTAAAAAAAAAATAAATTTTAATCAAACTACATGATACTAATTTAATTACGAGTATTAAAACTAAAGTCCTGAAAGTTTCGGTGAAGATGAGGACAGAGCATCTGCCTTCCACGCGAAAAGCCCGGGATCGAATCTAGGCCGAGGACTAATTAATTTTTCATGTTAATTTTATTTTATAAATTAGTCAACTTCGTAAATTATTTTAAAATTAGTTTTTTTGTCTAAATAACCTAAAATAATTTTTTAAATTTGTAGATTTTCGTTAGTGGGTCGTAGAAAAAATATACTGACCATATCGAGTGGATTGTTCATATCACAATCAGACGATTGAGTACTCCGCATACGACGTCGTGCTCAAACTTCGTCTTTGTGTGATATTGCTATCATATCCACCCTTGTTGAACAAACTATAATTTATTTGTTTTCTTGGTTTAAACCAAAACTTAAGTTTTACATTAGAAATAGGAACTAAATTAATTTACTTTTCAAGTTTTCTTGTAAAAATCGATATTACTTTCTCCAAGTACAAATTTAGTACCTACCTAAAATAAGTACTAATTATGTAATATCGTGTAATATTGTAATTCAAATTTCACATTACTATAAAGTTTCAAAATTCCCTACTTCGCTATGGTCAGATAAAAATTGAATATATTATATTAATAAAAACTGTCAAAGTATTACTTCTACAAATCTGTATTTCAATTAATAAGAATACATCTAAATATTACCAATATTGTTAAAATAAAAGCACAAATTCTTTATAATTCCAAAATACCATAGAGTTCCCAGACCTCAGTCGAAGCATTCGTTTATCTAGGTATAAACCCTTTGCGCGAAGAGTAACACTTGCCAGAGACACGGGGTACCACTTGATTTGCATCCACGAGCGTGACACAATTCTTTAAACAATTGAAGCCCTTGGTGTAAAAAGGATCCAAGCCAGAATTTGTCGTGATGTGACTGTTTTAGCTCAAAACATTTGTTAACGAGGATTTTACTAGCCACATACAAATTATTTTACCTCTAATCCGAAAGATGTGCTATTTTTCGTAATATTTATATTTAAATAATGTTTCTAATTATATTTGACAGATTTAAAACAAATTAAAAATTTAATTTCCCAAAACTTACTTAATATGGCATGTAACCAACCTTATTACGCCAAGGTTTTCAATTTTTTCAATAATAAAAAAATTGTGTAATCCGGGCCCGACTTTTCCCTCGAATCTAACAGAGATAGCACCATTCCGTCTTGCTTGGTTCTCGACCGCCAGATCAAAGACGCCGACACGGAGTTGTGGAGCTGTATTGTATAAGCAGTGTTAAAGACATGAGAGGTCAAGGGTATGATAATGGGGCGAATATGCGCGGAAAACATACTGGTTTTCAAAAACGCATACTCGATGCTAATCCCAGGTCATTTTTTGTACCATGTGCTGCACACAGCTTGTATTTAGCAGTAAATGATGCTGCTAAAGTTTCAAATAAAACAGTTAACTTTTTCAATATTGTACAAAAAGTTTATGTATATGCCTCTTCATCCACAAAAAGGTGAGATATTATAAAAAAGAATGTCCCGAAGTTAAATCTAAAACCCCTAAGTGATACTAGATGGTCAAGTAGGATTGATGCTATAAGGCCGCTAAAGTTTCATTTAATTCAAATTTGTGATAGCCTTCTAGAAATAGCAGAAAATGATACGTTTAACATAGTAGCTAGGCATAAAGCAAGTTCTATGCTATTAAGTATCCAATATTTTAAATTTATTTGCAGTGTAATAATTTGGTATGATGTTTTATTCCAGATTGGCATTGTAAGCAAAATGATGCAAAGTGTAACGACTGATATTAAATTGTGCCAAAACTATTTAAAAAATCTAGTTGATAATTTTAAAAATTATAGAGATGATAATGTTTTCGAGGAAAAACTTGCTCAAGCTGGAGAACTAGCAGCCGCTCTTGAGATAAAGCAAGGGTTTTCTCCATTAAATACTGTTAGACGAAAGTATAAACCAAAACTGTTCGATTATGAACAGAGAGATGAGACACCTCAAGATCCAAAAACAGCGTTTAAAATAAATTTCTTTTTAAAAATAATTGACCAAACACTAAGTTCTTTAAATAGTAGATTTGAAATGATATCTGATTACGACAACGTTTTTGGTTTATTTAGTGATATTTTTAAATTAAATGACGAGGATCTTTTAAAATGCTGTCGTGCTCTATAGCAAAAGCTAACTGATTAGAAAAAAGAGGAGGCTGACGTAGAAGAAAATGATTTATTTAATGAGATAAAAGCCCTAAGATTCTTTTCATTACCTGAAGCGTCAAATCCCCTCGACATTTTACAATATACAGGGTAGGGTGTCTGTAAAAGGTTTTTACAAAAACATACCACATATTTTTTAGACCAAAATAAGTCGATTTAAGTAAAATTACTAAAATTACCTTAGTACAAAGTTGCTTCGTTTGGGCTCCAGAGGGCCTTGAAGTTACAATTTTTAAATCGTTTTTCCCATATAAATTTAAAACGGCATATGCGATTTTGCTGAAATTTGGTATATTGGTAGAGTTTTATGTGGCAAAAAAATAGTATTAAAATTTTGTCCGATAATAATACATAGGCGTAGAACTTGATTTTTTAAATAATTGCACCTTTAAAAATTCTACGCCAATGAAAGAAAAGGAGTTTGAGTATGAAATTTAGATTGCGCAACTCATTTACTTTAAAAAAGGTACATTTGATAAGACTCGATTACTCTCATAGTTTTGACGAAATTTGCATTTTAGTAATTTTAGAACATAAACAATAATTATTAAAATACAAACTTTGTCAAAACCATGAGAGTAAATCGAGTGTTATCAAGGGTACTTTTTTGTAGTAAATGAGTACCCAATCCAAATTTCATACTCAAAGCCCTTTTTTGCCATTGGCGTAGAATTTTTAAAGGTGCAATTATTTAAAAAATCAAGTTCTACGCCTATGTATTATTATCGGACAACATTTTATACGATGAAAAACATAAAAATGTACTTTTTTCATATCTTCTTCAACACCTCTAATCGAGACTTTTAACAAACATACTCGATTCTTGCCATGTACGATTTTTTGAGGAATAATAATTATTTGCCTGCAATACGTATACAAAAACATTTATTGTTGATTTCCATAGTTTCATCTAAATAAAAATATTGTCAAGTTTTAACACCTAATCTCTTGTTAACGATTGAAAGTGTTCTATCTGACTCAATAATTAAAAAAACAAATGCGTGGTTTATTAATATGGCTGTACAATATACCAATGCAGAATATACCGATATGTTATTGACATTAGAATTTTGTGAAGGAAATGCTCGAGAGAGTGTCAGGATGTACTCTGAAAGGTTTCCAAATCGTCGTGTACCTAGCCACCCAACTTTTGCTGCTGTTGAGAGACGTCTTCGGGAGACCGGTTCCTTTGCTCCCAACACTGTTGATAATGGAAGAGAACATTTTGTAAGGATTCCTGAAGTCGAACAGTACATTTTAGAACGTGTTAAAGAAGATCCATAATTAAGCACCAGACGAATTGGAAGGGAACTAGGAGTAAGTAAAGATGTCGTTCATAAAGTGCTTGGAGAACAATTGCTATATCCATACTATAAGAAGCCAGTACAAGAATTATTAGTCCATGATCCTCAAATTCGTTTGGGTTTTTGTCGATTTGTTAATATGCAAAGAGAAAGAGATCCAAACTTAGTCAAGAAGGTTCTCTTTACCGATGAAGCGGGTTTTACAAGAAGAGGTATAACTAATACCCATATTGAACATGTTTATGCCGTTGAAAATCCGCATGCAATAAAGGTAAACCATTTTCAGCACGAATTCAAAATTAATGTGTGGTCTGGAATAATTGGTAATTTCATTGTTGGTCCTGTCATACTTCCACGAAGATTAACTGGAGAAAATTATTTGGATTTTCTACAAAATACGTTGCCAGAATTGTTAGAAGATTTACCTCTCCAACTTCGGAGAGATATGTAGTTTATGCAAGATGGAGTTCCACCACATTTTTTTTAAACGTTAGAAACCACTTGAATGAGCAATATCCACACAAATGGATAGGCAGAGGTAATGACGCACCTGTAAACTGGCCACCTCGTTCCCCAGACCTAACACCGATGGATTACTTTTTATGGGGACATCTGAAATCAACAGTTTACAGGGAACCTGTAGAAAATGAGGAACAACTCTGGCAACGTATTCAAGATGCAATAAACAATCATAGAGGTGATGAAGAAGTTATGGAAAGGATACATTTTAATTTTCTTTGACGTATAAATCTTTGTATGCGTGAAAATGGTGAACATTTTGAACAATTTTTGTAAAATCTCTATTTTGATTATGTTGTAAATAAATATTTTTGTGAAACCTATACACTCTAAATTATTAAAACAGAAATTTAGCGAAAACCATGAAAGTAATCGAGTCTTATCAAGAGTACCTTTTTTAAAGTAAATGAGTTGCGCAATCTAAATTTCATACGCAAACTCCTTTTCTTCCATTGGCGTAGAATTTTTAAAGGTTCAATTATTTCAAAAATCAAGTTCTACGCCTATGTATTATTATCGGACAAAATTTTAATACCATTTTTTTTTGACTCATAAAACTCTACCAATATACCAAATTTCAGCAAAATCGCATATGCCGTTTTAAATTTATATGGGAAAAACGATTTAAAAATTGTAACTTCAAGGCCCTCTGGAGCCCAAACGAAGCAACTTTGTACTAAGGTAATTTTACTTATTAAATCGACTTATTTTGGTCTAAGGAATATGTGGTATGTTTTTGTAAAGACCTTTTACAGACACCCTGTATATTTAAAAACAATCTAACTTAATCTCTACCAAATATTATTATTTCGTTAAGAATCCTGCTTACTTTACCTGTATCTGTAGCTTCTGGTGAGAGGTCCTTCTCAAAATTAAAAATAATTAAAAATTATTTGAGGTCTACCATGTCACAAGAAAGATTATCGGGTTTGGCAATCTTAGCTATAGAGCAAGAGATCCTCGATAAAATTGATTTTGACAATATTATAAGAGAATTTGCAGCAGCCAAATCCAGAAAAAACCTATTTAATTTTTGGATAATTGAATGTTTTATTTGTTTACTGTTTGGTTTGTTTTTTCGTTTGTAAGAATAAAATATTGGTTTTTGAAATAGCTGTTGTTTCATTACAAAATTAAAATAAAATGTAGTTTCGCAATTCGCTCAAATGTTAAACGATTACAAGAATATTACAGCAAAACATATGTAACAGCCTAAAGTTGTTATTCTTCAAAATATTATTTATATAAGTACTACATATATTCAAAGGGCGCCAAAATATTTCTGGCACGCGGGCGGCGATAACCCTTGCGGGGGAGGCCTGTGAAAATATCACTTGGCATCGTCCTTTTATGATATCATCTTAACGAGCCTGCTCTGGTAAAGAACACTTCTATTAACGCCTCGCAAATATAAAAATTCGGGAATCAACAGGAGTAATACCAATCACAGAAAAATGTAGATGGAACTTTAGTAGTCAAAAATATACTACCTACTCCTTTATTCTTAAAGTTGGAATGGCAAACAAAAATTGTATCTCCACCAAGGAGATAAGACTTACAAGACAAAAAATTATTAATTATTTTTAATATAGGTATTTATAAGGTTTTCTTTGGCCCTTTAAAAATGTATTTAAAACTATAATTTGATATTCAACTGTTCCACTGAGACTCAGACAAGGACTTTAAAGAAATCCAATAACGATTCAAAAATATAGTATAAAGTTATAATCCTTTTTTCCTGCATTGTACTTATACTACAAAGTGAAGTGGGACCTTTTATATAAACGATATTAAAACAAAATTATTGCGACTAACCTCTTATGTAAAGCCATGACATATTCCAAGATCACGACTAAAGATGAATCTGCGAATCAAGGTCTTAACGAGAATATTTAACATAAACTAGAAACATCTTAAACTATTTTTACGATAAGTTAACGATATCATATAAAAAAAATACAGCGTTGCCGTGTTGTAAAATTTTTCGGCTTATTAAAATAGGTGTCGTTTTATTTAGTAAATAGCGAAAATTTTGTTCACTTGGCATTTAAACAACTACTGCTAGAACTAATGACATTTATATCACTTAGTTTTGGATAATGAATTATGTTTATAGCTGTAAAAATGTTTTTTTTTTTATTTATTAATTTATTTAACGTTGGCCTATTTCTAACTACGACTGTTAAACACCGACGCTGGTGAGCACACTATCCCCAATTACCAGAAATTTAGCCGAATCCCCTAGTATTCCAATCAGAGATAGGGATCTTAAACGAGCCCAACATCCATGGCCTCGGGACCGGCGGCTTTACATATCCTCTGTGGTATGCAGCTAAGCGAGCAGTTTGTTTGGACGTACGCCTTATTTTATTCAAATGGTCACCCATGCAACTACTAACTGCGCTGGGCCTGGCTTGACTGCAGATATCAATACACAATAAGTGAACCTGTTAAGCCGAGCCGCTGCCTAGTAAAAATAGTTATTTTAATTATTATTCAGAATCACTAGAATGTTCTTAAGAGAGTAGCAGCGCTGGTTATCAGAGAAATTACATCATAGTTTCGCAATTTTATTATGAAATTTTGACAACATGATGTGTAGGTATATTTGCATTTTATTTTTAATTAGAGTTAATGTCTCTTTAAAAACTATAATTTTGCATTGTTTTATATTAAAAGTTATTCAAATATCTGGTGAAGATAAGAATAAATTATACAAAAGCATATCCGTAGAAAATTAGAATTTTTAAGTAGAGAAAAAAGGAGGTATGTAACTTTTTTAAATAAATGTCCTATATTTAATAAGAATTTCTTCTGGCTTTTTTTAAAAATCAGTTAACCCAATTGATGTTTTTAAATTTTTTAAACAAATTGGCATTCTTATTCCTACTCTTAGTTTGAAATAAACTCAGCTATGTGGTGTCATCTACTTAGTACCACGATAAACTTGAATGACATCTCTATCCCTTCCCACCTCCCTAATGTTGCTTTAACGACCAATGGGAGGATTTAGCGAAAGCAATTTATAGGTGGCCGTACCACTACAAATTTCCTATTAGATTTGACAGTTTGAATTTTAAGCACGCTTTTTGTGCACGCCTTCAATATTCTTCGTAAGCCAAGTTGTCTTATAGCA